CCCCTTTTTCCCCCCCCCCCCCCCAGACCTGAATTCGAATACTAGACTTCAGATTGTTATACTATCGCTCTAACTGATTGAGATTCTTGATCAACGGACGTAGCCCGGCCAATCTGTGCTATACAATTATATCCAAATGGAAATTAAGGGGAGGCTACTGTAAATAGGAAAAACCACAGTGCAGTGGGACACGGATCCTGAATTAATATAAAGTGACATTTACATCAACCAATATTAGATTTATCAAATCCCTTTTATGTGGACCGCTTACTTGAGCCATTTACTGGTAATGTCATTTAAACATTAATGGGATTTCTCAAAGTTCACTCAACTGTTAAATAATCGTGAAATTACTACCATTAGCATATGTGATTACTAGTATTTGTCCTCACACACTTCTATCAAACATTGAAAGTAATATACATGATAACTTTTTCAAATTATTCCGAAATTAAATATTTACAGTAAAACGCCCTTATCGATTAGCTGTATGGTAGTGGCGGGTACCGGTACCGTACATGTATTAGTAGTCTATGATTCGATCAAACTGTATTCTAGCAGGAATGATTGGTTTACGTCCGCTTCACTACCGAGTAGTTCGTTTATCCAGCAGACGAAAAAAGGACAGGAAAACGCATAGAAGGGATAAAGTATGGAGTGAAGGGATAGAAAAGGGAGACAGAGGAGAGAAGGAGCCGTCTATCTTATATATGTATTAACACATAAATCTGATTTCTGTAAGACGACTCCTAGGCCGAATGTTTGCCTTAAGCTTATACTAGTATGAGGTACGGTTCCCATCTGTCTATCATATAGTAAGTATATGTGTATCCATCTTTGGAATATCTCATAATGTTAATGTTTTAATAGTCCGTCTCTGTATGCCGGTTCGGTTCCTATGTTTAGTTGCAAACTTCCCATTTCCGGAATAAAATCTGGAGGTGGTAAAACCCGTTTTAAGTTACTGGTACCTTTGTTTTATTTTCTCAAATCACAAGGCAGAATTTCTCATCTTTAACATCTCCACATTCATACTTACATTTGCAGATAGTACGAAACAAACCGCCATGCATATACATGTATGTTAAAATGAAGTTTTGCATGTGCTGCATTTTGACACAGTTCGTAAAACTTTGCTAACGGAAATTATATACCAATTTAAGCATTACTCAACTTGAACTCTTTTGGTAAGTTGACTGTAAACATTATCAAGGACATTTTGATAATTTGTCTATCCAGAAGTTCTATTAAGATGCTGTCGCCCACTAAATCTGTTTCTATTTTGGCGTCACGAAAGAAGTTCATTTGATCTATCCAAATCATAACGTCAGGAATTGTTATTTTATTTTTGAATATATTAAAAATGTGTGTGATACCAGATATCGCGACAACATGTCGGCATCTGATTGTAGTCGACATGACGTCATTATTTAATTTGAAGAGGCCTGACAAATAGTAACGTCGTAAGGTGTGATGACATTATATATCTAAACAATACCACACATGTTAATGTTATATTTGTTTCGCGAATCCTTGAACCAAACAACAATGGCTGACAAAACAACGTCAAGGACGCAATAATGACGTCACGTTACCGTCACCTAAAATGGCAGAACACTATTTGAAATAAACTTTTGTCTAAATACTGTAGGAATCAAATTTCAACTGGTCTGATTAATATAAGACTGTTGTAACGAAACTTTATAAATGTGATAATGTGACGTTATAAACCCAGCGATAAATTTATATCATGACGTCATAACCTAAGCTAGGCCGTAATGACCAAAGAAAAGCCTCAAACCTTACAAACAAACCCCTGAAACTTCGAGGATGTTCACACCAGGAAAAGATAAAGGTTAGATATAAAGTTTCCCAATATTCCATTTGGAGGTTACCTTCTTTGCTGTTAATTTGAGCGGATTTATCAGCTCCCTTGGTATCCAAATGCAACATCACGGCAAACTTCGTCGAATTCTGTTACTTCTCCAACCATCAAAGAACGGATTTGAAATACAGAAGTGTATACCGTAATGGTACAAAATATACGTTAAACAGGGTAAAACTGTTCTGTCTTTACCAGGTTTTTATGATCTTCCACCCATTAAATCGACCAACCACTTCGGCTCCGTTGTAACATTCCCTAAATAATTCATCACGACGGAATGTCTAAGAAGAAGTTAACTTATTCAAGGTCTCGGCAAAGTTGTATCAGATTTTTTGCAGCCGTTGCTTAATATAAAATTTTATTTATTTTATAACAATTATGAAACAGGTTAATCAGTCTTGTTGGCTCCGATGTTAGCGCGCGTGCGGTCTTAGTGTGGAAATCGGAAAGGTGAACCTATACCTTTTCACGCCCGATCGGGGAATCGAACCCCGTCCGCCTTGGTGATAGGCGAGTGCGTTATCCACTGTGCCACCCGACCGCCCATCTTTCACGACGGATGACTATACAGATCGGGAATGTGATAACTGAATATCGATATTGTGTTGTAGAATACCGATACATTTATAATATTGTGAAATATCTACACTGTATATTGTATGATATAAATCGATATATTGTATTGTAGAGTATGTAGAATATTTAATATTGTATTGTAGAGTATGTAGAATATTTAATATTGTATTTTAGAATATCGATTTTATATTGTAGAATGTCTCGATATTATCTAAAAGATATCAATACTATAAATGTACTGCGGATTCATCATCTACCAGCATAAAATACCCCACTTTCAGTGATAAATACATGTTTATTAGCATATCAGCTTGCTATTTATGACTTCTCCCATTGGTTCGATTCTTGATTTCGATTGATTCCAATTAAAAACCACATACACGTGACAAAACAGAACAGTTTTATATGGCGTTAACCCTTTGTCTGTATATTCTATTTCTCTCACAAGGGTTTGGAAACTGCACTTTACACAAGAAAGGCTCAATGAAATCGTATAGAGATCTTAATACCAGATTCTTTGTATTTGTCATTGAAGTCGTGTTGGCAGACATATTGTAAACAAACATCGCTGTGGAGTACAGAGCACACTGACGTCATAGCTTGATAGTGCGTAGAGGTCGAAGTATACTATTATTTTGCACGTCACACGACATTGATTAAACAACACTTTTCTTTTAGCTGATTTGAGGCACTGGACAAACATGTTTAAGAAGAAGAAACACAACTCTGCGTCGATTTCATTATACAGCGTTTCATGACGTTGATGTAATTTTCTCTTTTCTATAAACAGGTAGCACGGGAATCAGTGTCGCTGCATTGTTGTGCAGCTAGGCGTGTTACACGAGTTAATGATTCACCTTGTTCTGTAATAAAACACGGAGTAAAATTTCCAGTCGGTGGATATCGATCTTAATAAAGCTATACATATTCGATGTACGTTATTGAGAGTCAGAATGTTCCATTAGATCGGTATAATGTATAACCACATGTATGCATGCGACCTGTCGCTGTTGGTTTTACAACAGCCATTAAACTTCAATTTTTTTCGTGTATGTTTTGGTTATGCATAATCCATACATACTATACACGAGTTACCTGTCGATTTCTATGACACCTGATTATGTATGTACCTGTGTACGTGTTTATTTACCGGCGGTGATGGCACGGTGAAATCCATTTGTAACACATCATCTTTACAACCTATAATTCTCACCAACACTTAATTTACATTTATATTTAATTCGAATATACACCACAACTTCCATAGAAGACGACATAAATACTCTACATTAGGTACCGTTAGGCCGACGGGATTATAAAATCCATTTCTATATACATGTACGTAGTAAGATAGAACGAGAATATTGATCTAAAAATAGTAATATTTTATCAATCAAATTGAATACAATGATCTCGCATAATCCTTTTGGTGGGAGGAGTTTGATATGATAACAAGTGATCGATACCCGTTCATACATGAAACATGTTCAGTAACATTGGGGATTGCAAACGGGTGTTCATCTGAGGGTCTCCGTACCAATGCCAAACACTGAAGCTACGCATTAGCAATTATTTTGTTTTGGAAGTTATAGCTTTGATAAAATCTTTTCTGAAAAGAAGACCACACCTTGTGGGACTTTCATGAAAATAAAAGATGAAATAAAATATACTCAACAACTCGAGTATAAAAAAACGCACCAGGAGTCGAGCACTGGACAACAATTTGTTATACTATCACTCTGACATACTGTATGTGCTGTTTGGTCAACGATTGTATTCTGGCCAAACACTGCTACACTTGTATCCAAACGGAGGCTAAGGGGAGGTAATTATACATAGGAATAACGACAATGCA